TTCATAATTTTAGATATTCAGTCAGCAATGCATTCAAAAAAAATCAAATTCATGTCATTCTTGGTGGACCTTTCCTATCAACTTCAAATGCATTAATCAATTGCAGGAATGGAGTCATGAAATTAACTTTTGAGAATATGACTCTTGAGCTTAACATTTTCAATATTGTCAAACACCCAAGAGAGAACAAGGAAGTGAGAGAAGTAAATTCTATTGAGTTTTTGGCCCATGAACATTTGAATGATATATTATTAGTAGTTAAAATTAGCATATTACTATGCTCTTTTAAGACTAATTATACTTTGATGGAGTTTAAGTGATGACATTTCAGGTCCTAAAGTGAACAAGAGCTCAAGAACAATAAAAATCACACTTGGATATAACACCAGCATATTGGGGCCAAAATTGGAGAAGCTTGGAACAAAGTAAGAACTTTCGAACACAAACGTCCACTTGAACTATGAAAAGACCAGATTGCTGAGACATGGCGTGTTTTAGCCAAGAAGGAAGACCTTGAAGTACTTGAGTACCACGTTCGAATGTCAACTCACGTTCGAACGTCCAATTGAATTGATTGAAGACCAGGCGATGAGTGCAAAGTGACAAGTTCTACATAGAGTGTGGAAATAGGTTTCCACAGAAGACCACAAGTCACTTAAGTGAAAAGGTCAAACCTCATCTGGTGTTTGAACGCCCATAAAGCAAAGACAAAAGAAACGTTCGAACTTGGTTTGTAAGGCTTAAGGGAGCTTAAGGGAGGATGTTCTTGTAGAAGACTAGAACTTGGTTTGTAAGGCTTAAACTACACCAAAAACTAGTCAAGAGCTAAATGGAGGCTTAGACTCCCACTCATATAGCTAGATTTATATTTGTTTGTATCAAGGGATATAGTTCATCTTTTGGTTGAGGAAGCAAAGCTCAATTTCTTGGTTGAGGAAGCCACCCTCCAAATGTGACTAGCTTTCTTTTACTTTTATTGTTCTTTTATTTCACTTCCATTGCTTGAGCTTCCTTCTTTCGTAAAGGAGTGAAACTCTTGCACTTTTCTACAATTTTACCAAAGCCGTGAAGGGTGGAACATGATTCACTCATTCTTCATTGAAGATTGGCTCCTTGTTTATCGTAATTTCATTTTGTAACTCCTCTACTTTGAGGGATGAATATCACTCACTTTTCTAGCTTTACCCAAGTTATGAAGAGTGAGTAGTTCTTCATTCACTCTTTAGTAAGAGGTGATGAACATGTATTGATTATCCAGAAGTTATATTTGTGCATTTCTTTTATGCTTTAATGCTTTATATTTCACTTATTGAATGATTGAATGCATCTAGCAAAGCTAAGATACTTTGTATAACCATAGGTTCTTTTTATGTCACAGATGACTCTTGCATGGAAAGACCCGTTAGTTCAAGGAAAGTACTCTGGCTAGATCTTCATAACAACATTTCAATATTCACCATTATTGTGCTTTATTTAAAGAATGAAACATTAATACCATGGTTGGACGGCCTTGTAGAAACACCTGCTTGTTTGTAGACGGGTTGAGTCTCGGCATAGACAATTCTAGCAAACTTCTAGGAAGGCATCGAAAGCATGTGCTTAATTCACACAGTCCATCTTTATCTTTTGATTAACTTGTTGTTGACACAAGATTTAATTGAATTATAAAGCACAAGTATAACAAACCGGATGATTACTTACATATTCTGATCCTCAAGCTAAAGAGTGACTGTTTCACATTTAAATTTATCTTATATTTTGTCTAAAAAACTCTTGGAAAGAATCTTATATTCTATTCAGGAAATCCCACAACTTTAAACTCTCAAGGTTTTCAGTTACTCGGTCTCTGTCACTGCTTACTTCAAAACACTATGTGGATTCGACTCCAGACTTAATTGGATTATTACTACAGCTTGACCGTCTACACTTAGGTGTACACATTTCAGATCAAGTCAATATATTTTTGTGAAAATCCTACTGAATATTGTCTGTTGGAACCTATCATATATGAGTTAACAGATGATGATCAAAATCCAAAGAGTTGCCCTCTTAGCCCACTCGTCAGCTCCCCCTAGGTAGTGATTGACAAAAATCGATGCACACAGACTCACACTCATGTCAATGCCCATGAATGTAGTTCAACTCGTGTATGTATAGATGTAATGTACAATTGCAATTTCATTTTATCATAATGTTAATTATATCATGAGAAACATATAACATTCATAAACATCACCAAGCATGCTATATATGATCATTATAAAAATGACATACTTCAATTTACCTAAGCATTTATCAAAACACTTAGTGGTATAGTGTCTATCGTACTAGTAAGTTCACATTTTCACAACCAAACCCAATTCAAGAAAGTCATATTCAACCTTTACTCTAGTCAAAAGTTAAAACATGTGATGCACACACCTATAGCCCTACCCACTTCATATAGCAACCCTAGGTTGAAAGAAAACTTAGATATGAGGGAACCCTATCTCTTGTAGTATGAGCAATGTAGAAAGACTCCTTAGAATGCCCAAATGAAGCTCTCTCAAGCTATAGAGCATAACCCCCCTTTTTTGAAATTTGAAGAAATTGGTTGTAGTTAGTATTGATGTGTTGCCCTCGTCAAGAAGAACAACTTTAGTTCTTGCTCTATCCTTATCCAACAGACGAATCTTCGTAGATTAAATGAAGAAATTAAAGAAGAAGAAGTGCATGGACGTTTCCCTCTCTTCCCTCTCTTTTACCTTTAAGCCCCTTTATATACTTGGCCCTTAAGGCACCACATGTCACTTTTTCATTGGTCCTATTTGGTCTAAACCAATCACATCTCACCACATGTCATGGTTGATATACTTTTACTAGATTTATTTTAAATTATATTGTGGGTTCCGCAATTAAAATCTGATCGCACAATTTTAATCAAGCGATACTTGATCGCATCGCAACATGTAATAATCCGTTTGTCTTGCAATTCAATGATTATAGACTAATTAACTCGGTTTTGTGAGGCAAATTCAACGGTGAGGTCCATTTCATCGTCTAAGTTATATAAAAATTTGAGTTTTTAATCCATACATATCAGTCTAATTACCGTTTTACTCTTTTAATTAAATTTAAAAAAATTTCTCAAGTTTTACATTCTCTCAGCCCTTAAGGATATTTCGTCCCCGAAATTACACAACATTTACACAATGACCCAACACATGCAACATGTAATTGTAAATGTACATGTACCATGCTATAAATTTTAAATTATACCTCCATCCTCAAGCAAGAATGGATAGGTAGCCCGAATTATGTCCTCTCGCTCTCATGTCGTCTTCTTGATACCCCGGTGCTGCCACAACACCTTCACCAACCTCACAGTTTTGTCACACAAAACCTGGTCTTGGCTATCTATAATACGAACTGGTCTCTCCTCGAAGGTTCCATCTGCGTCAATAATAAGCTCCCCTTAATCCACCATATATGTAAGATCTGAGGTGTACTTCTGAAGCATGGAGATATGTGTAATTTTTGAAAATAAAACTGTCAATTATGGGTAATTTATAATATATACGCACAAATAATTTTTTATTTGATCCTTAAAATTTTAATTAATACAATTACATTCTTAAAGTTTTAACCGAGTTTTATTCCTGTCCTTCCATTCAAATTGATTAAGTTGTTCGACATAAAGAAGTCCCCGGACTTGTCCATAAAGATGCATTTGTCCAGCAAATTTTTTATTGTCAAGTATGTTTATATTTATCTCTTTGCTTCACAATCTCTCTCTCAAATTCTTACTCTATATTTTTTGTTTGGAGTTTTTTTTTTAAAAAAAATCAGATAAAATAAAATTAGTTTAGTCTACACTTACAAATTTTTTACCAAACAAAATATACCCCTTTATCCAAGTCATGTGTTAGTTTGGAAGACCATTCCGTCATAACAAATTTGTGAATTTTGATGTCAAAACAAAATTAAAACTTAATTAAAACCCTAAGCACTTTATTTTTGCAATTGAAACTTCGAGTATCAAATGGGAATCAGTTGCATAATTTGGGGTCACAAATTATAATTTACCCAAACTGAAAATAAAAACGTGAAACCCTAGTATAAAATCGGTGTAGAAGGTCTACCTGTGTCTCTCATCTGTCTCTCTCTCCGGCTTCTGACCTCAGTAGACACAAATCTGTTTATCAGTCAAAGGTATATCGAACGCCATCTCTCTCTCACACTCTCTCTCTATGCTTAGACCTGTCTTTCTATCTATCTGTATACATGTGTTCCAGTATCTTATTGTATCTTGCTTTGAGAAATGCATGCTTGCTTATCTATTGCCTTGTTTCATGATTTACTTTTGATCCTCGTTTTCTTTGTTTAGATGCATGTTTTCCTCTTCAAGAAAATCGAATTTATGGGCCCTAAGTTTCACAGCAACTGCCCTTTACACCCATCATTTCCCAATTCTTTCACACACGCGCACGTCTGAAAAGGGGAGGCGTCATGCTCCACATTGTCCTTAATTTGATGGGTGCCATGTTCAGGGACTTTGGGACCATGTTAATGGTTTACCAGGGTCTTCAACTTGCTAGATTAGCTGTTTGTTGGCTGGGAGCTATGTTGTGTATGTTTGACCAGAATATCCCTGGATGCCTATTCGAGATCAAATGGATATATCTCCATGGGCCAGTTGCCCTAGAGTTTTTAATTCGATGGACCTATATGGCCTTTTCAACCGAACTGGGTACTAATCCATATGGACTTTTGATTGTACCGATCTGTGTCATTGTATGTTATACACCTGTTGTGCTGGCCACCAGTAGAATTTAGATACAAAAGTACAGTATACTGTTTTACTTGTATGCTTACTCTTCAATCCGCATTTTTTTGTGGTTTTATTGTTCAGGATTATATGTGGTACATTTAAGGCTCATCTTTCTAACCTTATGTATTAACTTGTTACTAAATTTCTTTTTTCAGTTTTTGGGAAACTAGTACCCATTATGTGGTTAAAGATGGGGCTTGAAGGAGAAGGAGATGAAGAAGACGAGAATGATGATCATAAAGCTAAAATCAATATACAATCGGTTCAATGATTTACCAAAGAAATGTAAGACTTTGTTTTCAGTACTTTAGTTTTAATTACCTCATTGTTCTCTTTCATGCTGCATGTTATTAAAGCTATTTTTTTAATATACATTCAAGGCATTAGAGTCCAAACAACGTGCACATTTTTTTCGACCATCCCATTATTAATGTTGTGTTGACTTCATTTAATTATTCTATCTTTGTCACACTGTTTCCACATTCTTAGCTGTAGGTAGTGTGGGTGGAATTCAATCCTTGGCTGCCGGCCCCTTTCTTCGTTATACACATTTTGATGTTGACATATATCATTATTTGAACTTGGCAAAAAATAAAAAATAAAAAACGAGAATTTTAGAGTTCCGTTGATTGAACAAGGCCCTATTTTATTGATTGCTTAATATTGTTTCTCATATTAGAGCTTGATTTAATCGTATCACTTCTGGGTTTAGGTCTTCAAGGTGATGTTCAATGTTGACAGTCGTTTGCCACCCGGAGATTCTAGATTTCTAGTGTCTTTCTTACATGATTCTATAATGTTGATGATTCATGAATTGAACCAACAACCGTTTGACATTCCCGAAAAGCCCCCTCTCATACTGATTCCTTGCTAAGAGTTGAATGATTTCCATGGTAATGTCATCTTAAGTTCCTTCTCCCAATTCCTTATTGGCTACTTGGTCATTATTTTCTTACTAAATCCTGGACATCCCTGAACTTGAAAGATTATCCCATTGTTGCTAGGGCCGGAGAAATCCTGAAAAGGGATACATCATCTTATGCATTATGCTAATTTAAACATAAATATAGAGGTATTGGGTCTGAAATCTGAGTGACACCTATTTTGCCAAGGTTTATGCATGAGTAACTAGGCAACCTTGCAAATGTGCATGGTTCATTGCACTATTGTTGGCTTTTGTTCTGCGTAAAGCAAGCAATAAGTTTGTTGATTACCAGATTCAATTTATATGTTTTTCTCATGATATATGTTCTGTAATCCTTACTTTTGATTTGTGAGCACAGGTCTTTCTAGTGAAGGTTGCAATCTGGCTTGGTCCAATATCTTGATTCACCATTTTGGAAGGTCATAATGGCAATTATTTAATACATTTATTATTTGCAACTTGTTTGGAGGAGCCTAAACAGTCATCTACTGGAATTTGATGAAGCACTGAGTGCAACTGCGAACCCTTGCACCAGGGAGACTTATTTGTTGTCATCTCTAAATGGCATCACTTAGCTTGCTTGAATGAGGAGCTTTTTTGGAGCATCATGAACAGTCATCACTGTATCCCTTTTGCTTCTCAATTGAGGCTTTAGAAGCTTTTTTGCTTGTATTAGCAGCAAACACTTGTGCAGTTTCGATTTGAAGGGAATGCAAGGACATTATTGAAATTTGTTTCCCAGCTTATTGTTGGTCAATTAGCTTTTATTTTAATTTTGATATTAATTTCTACTTTTTCCTTTTTCTCCATGTACCTCGTAATTGTATTTGATGGTATAGAATGACGGCTTTGAACCACTGTTATCTTTCAGGATGTAATGCTGCATGGTTATTATCTTTTGGAATGATTTGCCAAGCGCCAAGCTTCAATGTCTATTACATGTTACTTCATCATTTCTTTTCCACCAGTCTGAGCAGGCATTCTTTATCTTTTGCATAGAAAAAATAAATTACATCAAAATGAATAGGAAGCTATGATCCATGGGCGGTCTTATCCCTAGCTGTTCGGGGTTAAGAAGATGTGAACTATTGGGTGCTGCACTTGTTTCGCGGGAATATAATAGCAAAAGTCAGTGTCATAAAAGAAATTAATTATAATTAATATTCTCATGTCATCAAGGGTATATTGGTCTATAAACAAATATTGTTTATTAAATCATTGAGATGGAATGTGCATCGATGATCAAGATTATGTTCCCTTCGTTCTTAAATATTTGTCGTTTAAAGTTTTTATACATGAATTAAGGAAGCTATTAAATACCTCTAATATGAGTAAAAAATAATTACACAGGACTAAAATATTTTTATTCAATACATATTGAGAAATAAATGAATATGAAAGGTATTTAACATCTACTTAATCTAATGCATTGAAAAATTAAGGATAAATTTGAAAGAAAAAATATTAATTATGATTTAATTTTATTAAACGACAGATATTATGGAACAAAAAAAATTATATAAAATGACAAATATTTAACAACGAATGGAATAATTTACTTTTGTATTTTAGATAGAAATGTTGCACCACCTTATCAGAGATGAGAGCTAAGTTTGAACATACAAGATGTGATTCCTTTGATTATATGAATATTGAATTGAACAAGTGTACGTATTTTACGGCATTGTGAAGGTTAGACAATCGTGTTCATAGCTTTGTGAGTCTAACAAAGGTTTCAGTGTAATTTCTAAGGGGGAGAATGTGTAATTTTCAAAAGAAACGAAGAAATATAGCCAGAAAAAAGAACTCGAAACCCTAGTATAAAATACGTGTAGAGGTCTGTCTCTGCTTCTGCCTCTCAGTTGTCTCTCTCCTTCCGTCTTGAAGGTCTTGGATTGACTGTTCCACAGCTTCAGAAGACGCAAATCTATTCACCGATCAAAGGTATACTGTAACTCGATTTTCTCTTTCTCTCTCCCTCTCTCTGTCTTTGCGTAGACCTGTCTTTGGATCTATGTAGATGTGTACTTGTATCTTAAGGTATCTAGGTCTGAGATTGAGAAATGCATGTTTGATTATCTTTTGGCTTGTTTCATGATTTACTTTTGATCATCGGTTTCTCTGTTTGGACTATGTCTTACTATTTCAAGAAAATAGAATTTCTTGTGCCGAAGTTTGACATCAGTTGCTCTTTCCACTCACCGTGTCGCAATCCTTTCACACACACGTGCGTCTGAGAGAGGCACGTGAAATGTTCCACAATGTAAAGTAGTTTCAGCCATGATCCTAGAATTTAATTGGATTGACCTTAAGGGCCATTTCCACTTGACTGGGGTACTGATCCATTCCCCGGTTGATTGTACCAATCTGTGTCATTGTATGTTACACACCTGTTGTGCTGGGTAGCAGTTTCTACTGTTATGCTTCTATGCTTCTATGCTTACTCTTCAATTCGGTATTTGTTAGGGTTTTATGGTTGAGAATTCTCCATGACAAATTTCAGGCTCACCCTTTTAATTTCGGTTTTAAATTGTCTTTGTTTCTCTTTTTAGGTATTGGGAAAACAGTACCCATTATGGTGTTGAAAGGGTAGGCTCCGGTAGCATGGGGCTTGAAGGAGAAGAAGATGATGATGACTGCAAAGATGACCATAAAACTAAAATCGGCATAAGATCGGTTCAACGATTTACCAAAAGAAAGGTAAGAGTTCTCTTTCAATATTTTTAGTTTTCAAATACCTCATTGGTCTGTCTTATGTTGCATGTTATTAAAGCTATTTGTCGTATATATATGCAAGGGATTCGTGTCCAAACCACATGGACGTCTTTTTTTGACAATCCCAAAATTAATGTTTTGTTGAATTTCATTTAATTATTCTATCATTGGCTCACTCTTTCCACATTCAGTGCTGTAGTTTAGGTGGGATTCAATCCCTCACTGCCGAGCCCCCTTCCTTGGTACACACCTTTTGATGTTTATATATATATATCATTATTTGAAATTACGCAAAAAAAAGGAGAATTTTGCAGTTCCTTGAATTGAACAAGGCCCTATTTAATTGACTGTTTGATTTTATATTTTTTTAAGGTTGGAGCTTGATTTTGTAGTACCCCCTTTGGGTTTAGCTCTTCAAGTTGCTATTCAATGTTGATATTTGTGTGCAACCTAGAGATGCTAGATTTCTAGTGTGTTTTGCATGATTCTAGAATGTTGATGAAACGTGAATTAAACAAACCAACCACTAGATATTCACAAAATCCTTAAAGACAAACCCAAAATTGGCCAAAGATGCAAAATCTACTACTAGGAGTAGTTCTTTTTCACACAACTGAATGAAATGGATATCATAATTGTCTCAAATTTTATGTGTATTTATTAGCAATTACACTTATTTCAACCACAAGATTTGCATTTGTTTGACTTCCCAATCTAGTTGAGATCAATCCTAGTAGTCTTTATTTCTGTAAAATTCAATACAGGAAAATGTCCAATGGAACAAAGTATGTTGAGAATGATATTTTTGCAATGAGGAAAATTGTAAGTTGATGAGGCATTTGTGTTCTCAAAGTAGCTTTGTTACTTGATTTCCTCCCCTGCAATCACTGATTTGCTCTTGTTTCAAAAAATTGTAGGGCACTATTTACAACATGGATGGAGGAGCATCTCCAGAAATGTTGCATCCTTCACCTGCGATGCTCTCTAATCCACCACCAGATGGACCACAAGGAAGATTTGCATCTGGTGGCTAAAATTTTTCGCTGCTGTACCTTTTCCAGTTCTTGAGTTGCCATATGGAAATCTCCTCATAATGCGGTTGTTCCTGCTGTGGCTATCTTTCTACCTCATTTCCATCTACTTTGGAAAACCCCATTATCTCAACATTCCTTTTGTTAGTGGTTCTCCTGGAGAGTTGGTGTTTTTTTCAGTTTCATACAGACCCTCTCATGCTGATTCCTTGCCATGAATTCAACGATTTCCATGGGTATGTCATCTGGTTGTCCCCGAACAACAACAATGTCCTCATTGTTACAGGAGCCGGAAAAGTAATATGATTAGTCTCACCTTATTGCAGTGTACTGCTCTAAATATGCAGATGCGTGTGTTGAATGCGGTGAACACACAGTTATGTGAATGAAAAAAAAGCTACCCACACCAGCCATAAAAATTCTTTGCTTCATATTTATGTGCTTGGGGATTGATGGTGCTTTTCCTGGTTATGATGCTTATTATTCCTATAAAAATTTTGATGCTCAGGGTTGACTTGGTCCATTAGATGATGGTGGTCCTTCAGCTACACTAGCATATATTGATGGATGATCTCCTTACTCGAGATGCAAGAGTCAGAACTGGTGGAATTGGTGAGCACAATCCTGTTCATGTTTCTATGGTGCCTTACTACTGCTTACAATAAAAAGGACGCCTACTGAAAGTAATGTGAAGTCTACAATCTTTTGGAGCGGTAACACAAATCCAGAACAGAATTATAAAAAAAAAAAAAGCGGCTTTGAAGCATGTTAGAGACGGGATTTTTTAGTTGATACTTGCTGCTTCCGCCCTTGAGCAGGAAACTTTGCCTTGCTCCTTTGTAGCAAATTACCACTTGAGTTCCACAAAGTCGCCACAAATATATAGAAAAATTTGAAAAGTGTATTTGGATTTGATAGGGAAAGAGAGCAATATAGTAATACGTATCTGTTGATTATTTTGACATACAAAAATACTTATTTATATACCATACAGGTACCAATCACAATTTCAAAGAGTTGTAACTGTTGAAGAGATTACCGTTATTTTCAAAAATCACATTGGTTTTTCAAACAATTACGACTGTTAGAATTACAGCTTGAGTTGTTACTTTTAACAAGCATATTGTTAGTTATTTGTGCATCACACACATTGTAAGAAGAATAAATGTAGTGACATGCGGCGTGACCACGCGACAATGGTCTTGTAAATTTTTCTTTCACTCTAACTACCTTTTAATTTATATAGCGGTTGTTTGTCACTTAATTACTCATTAAAAATTTTGTGGACTTTTCCTTGTTGGACAAGTCTCATGCAAGAGAATCTATTGAACTTACCACCTATCCGACACATCTACCACCCCCACCTTATTGTAATTTTGAATCTTTAAGTAAAATACAGTAGTACCATGTAACAAGGTGTTTTTCGATTTGAGTGTCCAATTAGTATTAGGATTTTAGAGCTCTAAGGAACGTAGTGTTAACCTAAGTCTTACTAAGATTAGTATTTTTTTGCTTTTAGCGGCTATGATTCAAGTGTCCTTTTTTTTTGTTTGGTGGGGGGAGGAGGGAGAAGGGGAGGGGAATTTAAACTCTAGACCTCAATAAGGCAAAATTTTCATAAGATAAAAAATATAATAAGGCAAAATTTTCATAAGATAAAAAATATAATTTGACCAAATGCTCGGGGAGTGCCTATAGGTTGCTTTGTTTAGGCCCCCTTGGAGAGTTTTCTCAACAAGGAAAGACTGCTATGGTCATGTCTCGACAGAGATTCTACATTTGGTCGCTCCCTATACTATTTTTTTTATTAGCCAAAAAAAAAAAAATTACATACATGATTGTATTTAGTTTGAGCGAGAATCTCACAATGTTTATTTCAGCATAATAATGTCAATATGCTATTGCCTCATCTAATGGACATTTAGGGGGACAAAAAAAAGGCCCAACCTTTTTGCGGTAAACAATACCACTTCTTCTGTTCATATTAGTTAAATTCATTTCATATTGTTGTTGCTTAAGACACTTAGATAATACTTTTTGAGCTTCATCATGAGTAATACAATCATTGTAAACCCCACATTTTTATCTTTATATATGTAGGTAAGTTTATATAGTAAGTTATTATTTCTTTCGAAATGTTAATAAGAAAAAATTCGAGAAAATAGTAGTTAAAACATAGTTTAGCTTGTAAATATATGAAATCATTGTAATAGAACTTGTACCAACTAGGTTTGATGTACAAAAGTATGTTGAATAAGCTTTGGTTGGAATTGGAAGGGTTTGGAATGGATTGGAAATGAAAAATTGAGGTTTTGTAGGAAAACAGACAAAACCTTCTGGAAGGTTAAGGTAAAAGGCTTATCCAGTAGACAAAACCTTCCGGAAGGTCGATGACAAACCTTCCGGAAGGTTAAGAAAAATATTGTTCAGTAGATAAAACCTTCCGAAAGGTCGATAACAATCTTCCGGAAGGTTATTGAAAAGGTTTGTCGAATAGGCAAACCTTTTGGAAGGTCGATGAAAAATCTGAATTTTTAAGTCGTGAACAGCCAGTTTTCCTTCCACTATAAACACTTAAGGATAACCCTTTAGCCTCATTTCAACATCTCTAACCCTAGGAAGCCTTAGAGAGGAGGAAATGAAGAGAAAAACACAAGATCAAAGGGGATTCCACTCCAAGAAGATCAAAAGCCTAGTTTTTTTTTCAAGAACATCAAGTGGGGGGTTTTCTTCCATTCTTATCCATTGATGCTAGAGCTAATATATATGTATTCTTTGACTCTAAATCTGATATATGTGTTATGAAATCATCATTCTTTAATCTTCTTGCAATTATTATTATGTTTTAAACAAAGTTAGGGTTGAATGCCCATGAAATCTCTTTTCTTAATTTAAAACCCTAGTTTTTGGGAAATATGAGTTTCTCCTTCTACTCTCACTTAAATTGAGTTGCGAAAATTTTAGTGTTTGGTGTTGAGTATCAAAATGATATTGATGATGATCTCTTGCATTTTCTTCAATTCTTCTATTAAAATACTACATGTGAAATTGAAGATTTATGGAATTGTTTGTTATTTGAGAAAATTGTTGGTATTGTATCTCTTGTGTGGTTGTTGGATAAACATGGGCTACTATTGACCGTGTATTGTGGAGTATGTAGACGCCTTCTTACTCCGTGCAGGTTTGAATTTTTCCTACCACTCGTAGTGGGGTTAGTGTCTTGCGAGGACTAAACCATTATCGCTCACGAGATATTGTGGAAAAAGGGTTAGTATATTACTCCTGGGTTGGATATGTCACTGTTATGGTATTGGCATACGCCATTCCTAAAGGTTGGATATCCTTGTGAGGATTTGTGTGGGCTGTACATGGGCCAGGATATTTTCGATGGTATTCATGCGAGATCTTACTTCAGACCAGAGATACGAATACAGTGGTGGGTCATTGTTCATTGTACCACAAATAGTTTCTACAAGAATTTTGGGAAGTATGAGATTCCGCAAGAACTTGGGAGAAACGGTTTATGGTCGAATGGATTAGTAGTCGTATATTGGTTTCACTTATGCATTAAATTACTGTTGTTGCTTAAACTTGAGATATGTTTAAATGTCCCTGCTTTACTTCAAAATTCATATATACTATTTGTTAAAGGTGATCGACCGTTTTATATACTTTTCTAAATCTTATTCGAGTTTGGGAGGAATATTACTACAGAGCTTAGTGCTCAACCCCACTACAAACTATATTTTTCAGATTGTGGTCTAGAGGAAGAGCTCGGGGTTGAGGAGCCGACACAGTGGGAAGCTCCACTAGACAGGCTCATTAACCCCGAGGTGGATGTCTAGAGTTATACTCTCTTAGGTGCTAGACTAGGAAATTTCTTTTAAGATTATGTAAAGACTAATCTTTTGTCATTCCGCTACCAGTTTAAATGTGATTCTGTTTGGACGTAATTATCATAGTCGATCACATTCTTTTGGGATGTAATGATCATAGTTGACCTATTCTTTTGAGATAATATTGTAAATGTTATAATTGATGAATGAAATTTCTTCAATGATGAAATTATTTAGTTGCTCTCATGATGTGAATGGTTTATAGATTGTAATGTCGTCCAAGGTGGGTTTTGGGGCGTTACAATCATCCTAGTTAAGAAATTGTTTATTGTAATTGGCTAGTTCTGTAAAATCTTCTTGTAAATCTTAACTTATGTCCGTGGTCGTGATACTTCAAAGATCAAATTCCAAAAACTTCAAGGACAGAAAGAGTTCGAGTTTCAAAGCCATATCAAGAGCCCCTCCATTCGACCTTCAAAACTTAGGACAAGGTAATGACATATATATCTAAGACAATTGGTTTATTTTAGATTTTGGCTCATTAGGTTAAAAGAATTGAATTTAGGATTATTTGTGAATGACTCTTAGGCTTTCCTTAAAAAAGATTTTCTAAATATCAAAGTGTGGTTTGAAAACATAGGTTGAGTCATGTATCAAATACTATTTGAGCAACACTCCTTCAATTTGAGTCATTTCTTCATTTTAGTACCAATCTCCCTCCCATCGCCCTTTGATGGCATGAGCGTTCCTTCAAGATTTTGTGGCTAGTCGGAGGGATTGTTCTTGTGGATTGGATTGTTTGGGCTTGTTGAGAAACACATACATTGTAGCCAATCTACATTGCAAATTGTTGTTGATTTTGGAAAAAGGGTTCAAAGGGTCTAATTGAAAATTTATTCACTTAATTTGCTAATTGAGGTCAATAGGTTACAAAAAAAAAGAGGTCAATTGGTTACAAATTGGAGTTTTTTCAAGCCGAAAATTTTAATTAACCTATTTACACCCTCTAGGTCGTGTGTTCGATTTCGCATGTATAATAGTTTGAAAAGATCCTTACATTAGGAAATATCAATCCTAAATAACATGATGGTCACTGATCTTGGAATATGTTTTACTAAGAAGAGTACCAAAAATGATTTTGAGTACCATAATAGCCACTTATCAGTA